AATAATCCATCAGTTTCAAAAAGACAATACCATCTGATTTCGATGTAGAGCACCCATCTGATTTTATTCACAAAGAGGTTCACTATCTGCTTCAAAACGTCAACACCATCTGAAATACTTGTGCATGTACCTGTGCCATCTCTTATGTGTTCTTCTTTGAGAGATCCGTGGTCGCCCCCTCCCCCCTCCTCTCTCTCTCTCCATTTCTCTCTCTGCATCCACTTCTCTCTCTCTCTTTATTTCTTTCTTTGCATCCACTCCTCTCTTCTCTCTCCCCCTGCCCCTGATCATCTTCTCTCTCTAAAAGTCTAAATATGGTGCATAGTTAGGATAGTTAGTATGGTGCATAGTTAGCATAGTTAATATGGTGAATAGTAAGCATAGTTAGTATGATGCATAGTTAGTATAGTTAGTTTAATGATTATGGTATTGGCATAGTTAACATAAATATGGTGCCTTATTTTTTGTTAAGTAATATGATGTATGTATCATCAACTTTACTATTTTATTTTATTTACTTTTACTTAACTTTATTTTAATTGTGTATATTGTAAATTAAATACATATTGACTTTCAATGCTTTCATTAAATAGCTTCCCATGCTACTTTATGTACACATTAACTAGCTAAGCTTGTGGATTTCGTTGAGGTAGTTCATATGAAGAGCATGAACCCCTAATATGTGTGTTGAAATATTGTTTATTCATTACATATATTATTACATTTTTAGATTTTTGATTTGTAGATGTGTACTTATATATTCTATATTTTTTATTTGATTAAAAAACAAAAAAGAAGAAATAATGTTCAGGTCAAAAGATTCTTTTTGGGATTATTGTGATGAAAGTGGATATAAATGTATTGCAAATTTTGTGGTGAAGGTCTTTTTACGGGGATAACAAGATTCAAATATCACCTGTCAAGAGATCAATGGAATCATATAAAATCTTGCCCTTAAGTACCTGATGATGTACATGTTTTGGTTGTATGTGCGACACATGAGGCATTTTCTAAGCCCTCAAAGAAGAAGAACAAAATTACATCATATACTCAAAATGTTGATCAAATTTTGTTAGGCATAGGTAATCCTAATGCATCACTTGTTACGTCTTCTACTCGTTCTTATTTACAACAAAGTTCTTTACCATCATTGTTGAACAAGAAAAATAAAGATTTTGTTGACAAATAAGTTGTACGTGCATTTATCATGAATAATATTGTCTTTGATGTTATCAATGCACAGTCATTCATTAATATGGTAAATGCATGTATCAATTTTGGTGAAGGTTACATACTACAAAGTTACTCATCTCTTTGTACTAAATTGGTATAAGAATTTATGATAGAAGTTAATACATATGTAGCTTCAACAAAAGAGTAATGGGTTCAATCTGGATACACTTTCATATCAGTTCTCTGGTCGGATATGTAAAACCAGCCATTCCTCAATCTTTTTGCATCTTGTTAGAAGAGATCGATTTTTATAAATGCATTTGAGGTATTTGAGTATAAAATAACTAGATTATTTCTTAAAAAGATGCTTGTTAAAGTCATTGAGGAGTTAGAAGCCACAAAATATTTCTCATCTTGTGACTGACAATGGATCAAATTATGTGCTTGCTTGTGATCTTATATAATCAATATTTCCTCATATTCATAAAACACGATGTGTTGTCTAAGGGTTAGATTTGTTTTAAGAAAACATTGATGTCACTTGGGTAGAAAATGTCATTAAGGATTCTAAGTTAATAGTAGATTTTATGTATCAGTGGACAATTGTTTTAGATTTAATGAGAAATCACACAAATGGAAAGGAAGTGATAAAGAATGGTAAACCTAGATTTGCTTCTAACTTTTTGATGGTTCAATCTATATTGCATGTAGAAGAGGGTTTGAGATAGATTGTTACATCATCTGAGTGGAAAGCTATGAATTATAAGAAGAGTAAAAATGAGAAAAATATCATAAAAATAATTCAAAACTAAAAATTTTGGAATGATATGATAGATACAATCATCATAATAGAGCACCTTATTAGGGTGCTTCATTTAGTAAATAGTGAGGGGTCAACCATGAGATATTTATATGAATCAATGTAAAAGGCAATGGAAGCACTAAAGAGGAATTGTAATGACAAGGAATTTAAATATCTTAAATTGTTGAAGATCTTTAAAAATAATGAAAAGAAATATAATTCACCCGATTCATGTTGTTGCGTCTTTTCTTTAACTATCTTTAATGTATGGTAGGGTTTGTTAAATTTGATAATTCTGAAGTGAAGTCTGTCGTTAACTTGAATTCAGATACAATGATCCAAACAGAACAAAACAATGTATTCTTTTCAGAGTTATTGAAATACCATACGCGGGATCTAAATATATTCGATGGTATTGCAATGAGACTATTGTCAATAGCTCATCATTATAAGTATCTTATTGTATATTTGTTTATTATATCTTCTTGTATTATTCTTTTTTTTAGTATTTGAAAAAAATAAATTTTTTTTTACTTTTAATTGTATATTGAATATGTGGCTTAAATTTTTCATTTTGTAGGAGTTTGTTGGGAAGTGTGTGGAGAAAACATTCCACTGGTACAAATAACTGCTATTCGGATTTTGAGTCAACCATATAACTTATCAGTGTGCAAAAGAAATTGGAGAGCTTTTGAGACGACACAAATTAAAATATAAAAATAAGTTGACACCAACTATATTAACTGACTTAGTTTCCATAAGAGTGAACTCGAAGATGATGAATGCATATCATGAAAATCAAAAGCACGATTGTATGTAATTAATCTTGAACAAATTTTGGTTCACTGTCGGAAAATTTTTCTAAAGAGATGGAAAATCATGGCACCTCCATAGATGATGATGACCATGGTGATGATGATGACGCATGACTACATGACTTGGGGCTTATACTTTCCCAATCTCCTAATTTGTTTTATTAATTCTGGTGACTTGACCATGCTTTATGCTTAATTTTAAATCTTTCTAGTGAATTTTGTAATTAATATTGGATGATGGGATGAGAGTCATGAGATATTTAAATTGATTGACTTCATTATATCAGTTTAGTAAAGTTTTTATGGATGTGTTAGTTATTGATGGCTTTGATATTTTTTTATTTTTTAGAATTTAAAAATTTCAAAATTTTTAATGTATCCATGTTTTTACACTACAATTTTTTGAGCCTAGTCCGATATATTTGCGATATATTTACATAAAGTATTTTTGCCAATCCATGTTTTTTACCTTATTTTTTCATCCTACATTTTAAAATAAAAATGATTTATCTTTTATTTTATTGTGAGCCGATATATTGATATTCCTCGACATGCTAATTATGTTCCATAGTAAGGAATCAACGTTTTACTGTTTAGACCCATTGGTCCCTTCTAGACTCGACTGGTCCTTGAGATATTACGGCATGTTCCATAGTAAGGAATCATCGTTTTACTGTTTAGACCCATTGGTCCCTTCTAGACTCGACTGGTCCTTGAGATATTAGGGGAACTGAAACAGGTTGAATGATTCCCTAGACAGACTAGGTAATTTCGTTTCGACCCGGCATTTTTTAAAACATTGAATTATTTTATACTGATGGTATTTGCAATCCGAGAAAAATGAGAGAGCTCGAAGAAAAGCTAAAAACTCATTTATAGATGGAGGAAGTGTCTCATTCATTTCATCAACCTTAGTTGTCAATTGGACTCCACGAAACTACAAATGATTATCCATTACTTCCTCCTTGAGAAAAAGTTCTTGAGTTAAAAAAAAAGGAAAAGAAGTTTCGTTTCTTATCATTCCTTTCCTTTCGTCACTTACTCCACGAAAACTACAAATAGTTTTGAGTAAAAAACAAAAACAAAAAAGGAAAAAAAAAATTGTACCAGCGACCCTCATTTTTATCAAATTTTGTTTTATAAAGGATGTTGACTTATTATATAAGGCCTTGAGTTTTATGAAAAAGGCACTCCAGTTTTGGAAGCATGCTGGAAAATACGGTCCTGACGTTAAAAATTCTTATAAAATTTGAGACTTCAAGAATAGTACAAACATTTAAAAACACTTAAAAATGAAAAGTTTGTGTTACAAATGCACTCCATTTAAGACATGAAATCGTGTGTTTGTTTATTTATTTTCAAATGAGTTTGGGAGGATCATGTTGAGGATTCTAAAAAAGCTACAACTTTTGGTAAAATTTGAAGGAGTGAGGTTTGTATAAGGCACCCTCCTTATGCTGTAGAAGTAAGGTACTTCTCTAAAATTTGTTTAGATATGTAGTTCAAGTGTAGAAACCTCACAATGACCTCAAAAATCTATATTTATCTCTAGTTATGAAATTTAAAATTTCAAAAATAGTGCATATAATTTGTTACAAGATGTACTATATTTAAAATTTGAAATTCTTTTTCTATATTTATACATCTTGAGGTTGAGATGATCAAATTGGAGGATTTTCCAACTTTCAAACACTCTTCTAAATAATTTTTTAGGTGCATCCTACTTCAACAATATAGTTGACTTGTATGAAATTTTTCCAATTTGAAGTAGCATTTACTCGATTTCTTTTTATGGTTAAAGTCTAGGCTAGGGATCATGCTAATATTGAGGCGGGTCTTGAGTTGCAGGGGCACTCAGGGCATGGTGGTGTTTTTAAATAGGAAGAAGTTTCTATAAGGCCTAGGCTCTATGTAAACTAAATAAAGCCTTACCGTAAATCCTTGTTTTGAAAGAACTTTTGAAACACTTATTTTTAGGACAAAATGGATGGTCTAGATCAGTTTTTGACATATATATTATTTTTTAGGTTTAAAATACAAATGTTTTTCACAATCATAATGTCTAAGTTAAGATGATCGATGTAAAGGGTTTTTTTCAATGCTTGACTTACAATTTTTCATGAGTTATTAGGTGAAGCTTTAGTTATTTCGATAGGGCTGCAGCCCTATCAAATCATTTTCCTTAAAAAATAAATTGAAGACATACGGTTCTTAACCACCGCCGTTTATCCGGGCAACAAGGCAATGCTAAAACAAACTCAGTGGTGATCGAGTGGAAAATGCAGAAAGAGAACGAGTTAATAGCGTAAGGAGCATTGCAATTTGGCATAGAGATAGAGGACAATGAATGCGCTGGGGAGGGAGGTGAAGAAGTTCATCATCAAGCGGAAGGATAGCGATGCAGGCGAAGCAGGTGCGCTCATCTACTTTTCAATCTCCCCCAATTGAGAACGAGAGAGAGAGCCATTTCTCAATGGTACAGAGTGATGTTTTAATGGTGGTTATTGTGAACAATAACAGGGCGAGCATTGGAAGAGGTTCGCGCATCGCTGTTTAATGATGTGCGCACCTCCGAAGGCGCCAAGCTGCAGCAGCAGAGATTCTGCGGGCCTTTTGTTGCCCTCTCATTCAACTTCTTGATCGCTGTGGGCATCATCATGGTTAACAAACTGGTTGGGTCTTGAACAAATCTGATCATCGCCTCTTCTATCTTTCTTTTATTGAAGAAGGCAAATTTCATTGTGGTTGTTTCCTTGGGTCTTGAACAAATCTGGATCATCGCCTCTTCTGCCTTTCTTTTATTGAAGAAGGCAAATTTCATTGTGGTTGTTTCCTTGGGTTGGTCTTGTTGCAGGTATTGGGCAGCAGGGTTGGGTTTGATTTCCCCATTTTTTTGACCTTCATACATTATGCGTGTAGCTGGTTTTTGATGACCGTCTTCAATGCATTCTCCTTGCTTCCGCCCTCTCCGCCATCCAAATTCTCGAGCACCAGAGCACCATTTTCTTCTCTATTTGCACTCGGCGCCGTTATGTCTCTCTCCAACGGCCTCGCCAATGTCAGCCTCAAACATAACAGGCAGGCGAATAAATTGTGCATTTGCTTTGGCTTATTTCACTCCCTTTGTTTTCACAGAATTTAAGATTGAATTGCTCCCCTGACATTGCATTGTTATTTTGTTTGTTATAAATAACAATACACACAGTGTGGGGTTCTATCAGATGGCCAAGATTGCCGTGACTCCCACCATCGTTCTAACGGAGTTCTTAAGTTTTGGAAAGAGAGTTTCTGCGAACAAGGTATATGTGCAATCTACTCTCACTCTCCTTAATATTCTTTCCTTCTTCTCCGCTGTCCATCATGTAATTCATGGAATTGATTGGGATTCATTCCCCCAAAATTCAATTGCTTCCGACATTCATTCCATTTGTTACAACGGGGGCTTTTGCCCTGCCTACTACCCTGGCATCAATATTTAATAATTAAAGTATGGCACACCTCAAAACTATGCCTAAAGATGGAATTTTTGTGCAGATTGAGCTGATTTATAAATAATTAAATTTTTTGAAAACAAACGGTCTAAATAATGTGTAACGAGATGTACTATTTTTATCATTTTTTTTTTTATTTTTTTCATTCTCATACATCTTGAAGTTGAAATGAACAATTTGAGGGTTTTTTAATATTCAAATTACCTTTTTTCATGGGGTTTTCTAATTTCTAAATAACCTTTTTCCAATTAATTTTTGAGGTGTGTTGTACTTCAATGACACCTTATATAAATTTTCTCAACATACATATATTCTGGTCTATCTCTACATTGATTGTACACATCCGTGTAAGAAAAATTGGTGGATAATCGGAAGACGCATTGTGTTGATGGAATCAACACTCAGTAGTTACATGGTCAAGCTCATCAGCGCTTAATAAAGAAGCAAGCATGCTCATTAACGCTTAGTACACAAGCAAGCAACCAACCAACCAAAAATATAGGTGTACTCTGCCCACCCACCCACTCCTGTGTCCGCCGCTGCACCCACAAGATATATGTTGTACTTCCTTGGCCTTTACTGTATACACAGTAAATTGTTTTCGGTAACCCCCAAGTTTGTTTCTGAATCAACCTAAGCTTCGATTTAGGGATGAGAATCGGCGGGGTAGCCCCCCTTGCCCTAAAAAACTAGGGCCTGAACCCCAAAATGTAGCCCGACGGTAGGGCCAGGCTTAAGTTAGAGCCTCTCCCAAGAAGCCCTTATAGGCGTAGGGCAGAGCAAGGCCTAGGGCTGGCCTAGCTAGGCCCAACCCATTGCGGCCTTTACTTGGATAGTATATCATGCAAATCTTTAAAAAAATTGAGGCATTTTAATATGAGATTATATACAATGAGACCATTTACCTTGTACAAGGAGGTCGCAATTAGTTATAACTTATAACCATTCGATGTGACATCTGATAGCTTGGGCATGTTAAAAAGTTCAAAGAATTTTTTTTTGAATTTTGGGCTTGGTCAATAGAATAAATGCAGCCACTCAATATCACATCTAATGGTCAAGATTAATTGGTCTCATTGTATACTTTTCCATTTAAAATATCTACCATGTAGTACATACTAGTGCATTATTGATTTACAAGTGAGTTGCACATGTGATCTAAACAGAGGTTAAGAAAACGAATAGTCAATGAACAAAAAAATTTCAATAATTATTTTGTTTTTTTGGAAATTTTTTGAAAAGGGAAGGATGACAGAGGCTTAAAGAAATACAATTGCTTGTCGGCATTATCTTTTCAAAACTTCAAAAAATTCATAAAAAATCAAAATATGTTAAAAATTTAAATATCCAAGCCTTATCCCAAATTTGGAGTCGGCTACATGAATCTTGTTCATCCATTCTTCTCTATCAGTGGTTATACCATCAATAAGACCCAAAGTCACTATATCTTTTCTCTCGACTTCTATCCATGTCCTTTGGGTCTTCCTCTTGTCCTTTTAGAACGTTCTACTTAGATAAAATCGTGCCTCCAATGTTGTATTGAGTCTATGCTGCACATGGCCAATCACCTAAGTCTAGTTTCTCTCTCTTATAACTTATTGAAGCTACACCTAAGTTCCCTCGTATGTATCCATTCCAAACTCTATTATTTCTTGTCTTACCACTATTCCATCTCAACATCCTTACTTTAGCTATACTCCTCCCATGGATATGTTATTTCTTGACTGCTCAACGTTCTGTCCCATAAACTATGGTTGGTCTTACAACCATCCTATAGAACTTTCCCTTCAGTTTTCAATGGTAAACGGGGATCACATAAAGCTCTAGATGCACATTTTTGCTTTGTCCACCAAGTTTTAATTTTATGTGCAACGTAAAAATTAAAATAAATAAGAATATAATTTTTCTAAATTTGGAAAAGGAAGTAATTTTGTATTTCAAGAAAATATATTATCACATTAATAGTTATTTATCATAACAACCGTCCAATTAACATTTAAAATTATGTAATTGAGAACAGGTGCTCTAGATAATGTCCACAATTATTTCAAAACATCTAAAACGATATTAATATTTAAATGGAAAAGTTTATATGAGGTTGCAACCTTAAAAAGACCCCAAAAATCCATCGATAAATATTGTTTAATATTGAAAAATCATCTCGACATTGAGATGTATGACTATGTAAAAACAGGATTTTGAGTCCTAGAAATGGTGCATCTTACAACACATTATCTAGACCGTCCATTTTCAAGATTTTCATATGTTTATAGATCTACTTGATTTTAATCAATTTTGGAGTTCAAAATTTTATAATTAGATTTGAAAATAGATTTTGAAATAATCTTAAAACTATTTTACATCAAAATTATATGTTATGATAAAATTTGAAGGAGCGCTTTAAATTGATTGTTTAAGATTGCAACCTTATAGAAACCACGCCCATATTTAAATTCATATTATATTAGCAATTATTTCAAGGATGACAAATTAGGAAGATCTAAACAAGCATGAAATTTGAAAAACATTTAGAAAATTGTAATGGAAAATTGAATGAAATAGAAATAAATTTTATAATGAAAATGAAAATTCATACATAAAGTCATCTTTAAATTAAAAGCATAACTTGAATTCTTTAAGATGCAAAGGACTAATAAGATAAAAAGGAAGAGAGCGCGTATCCTACTTTCACCGAAATGATGCACAAAGGAAAAGTAATTACAATTAAGGGAATGTAATTGGGGCCCAGGTAGTTAGAGGGCCAGGAGCGTCAAAGTATCATCCCACCCTCCATTCCTACCACTAGCATATAAAAAAAACAAATATAATTAGAAACAACCAAAATTTGAATAAAAAGGAAAATGGGAGAAAAGAATGGAGAATTTAGAGATTTAACAAAAAAATGTATTCATAATCATTATTTAAAAAATGAGGGATTGACAACTGCTAATACCTATTGGCATTATTTAATTAAAATATTTAAAATTCTAGAAATTAATTATAAATAATTTTAAAAGAGTAAGAAATAATTAAGAAACAAATTTATTTAAAACATTCTAATAAAAGGAAATGAAGATGATGTACTATACTTCATAGTTTATTTTATCTTATTTTATTTTTTGATAAAAGTAAACAATTATTTTGATAATTTCAAATTTATAACAAGAGGTAAAAATTTCTCATAAATAATGTGGGAAGATTAAAAATCATAATTAAAATAAAAATCTAAAAATTGATATGCTATATTTTAGAGAAAAAGAGTCATCATACTTAAAATATGAAAAACTAAATTTATAAAAATAAAAAGAAAAAAATCTTGAAATCGAAATTCCCAAAAGAAAAGAAAAAACTAATTTAAACACACTTTTGCTTAAAAGATGGCCTAATTATTTTTGTCTTTTAAAAGCTCTTAGAAAATCTGAAAGTTAGTCATAAACTAAGTCTAAAGCCCTAAACAATATATATTTAAAAGAAAAAAATATTTTAAAACCCTCTTATATTTGGAAAAAGTCTACATAAAGTATCAAACATATATTGTGTAAGTAAGACACCTCAAAATCCCACAAAAAATAGTTGTTCTAATACTGGAAAACCCTTCAATGATCATCTTGACATGGACATGCTATTGAAGTTTTATATGGGTGAAATCGGGGCAAAAATTGGTATGGTTTCAAAATTAGGATCTCGAACTTTTCTTGTTTTTGGACATGTAGGAACGTTTTCTCAAGACGATATTTGGCCCTTTTCGATATAGTATTTTATGTATATAAGAAGGGCAATTCGTCATTAAGATACAAGAAAATAGAGATGTCCTTTACAATGTTCTTAAGTTCTATGTACCCGAGCTTGGAACCCACACAATAGACACTAGAGTCTTGATAGTTTAGAGAGAGAAAAAGGAAAATCCAGTAGAGAGAGTTTAGTCTACTGGTTTGCTTGCTGGAACTGCAAAGAATGGTGTGATGTTGAGAGGCTCAAAATTGTTCTAAGTGTCCAACTCGTATGGGTAGGAGGGCCCATATTATAGAGCATCAATAAGCTGCCATTTAGTGTTGTAGAAGTTGTATGTACCACCCAACAACTATAAGTTACATGTGCTTACATGCACTCTAATAGCTACAAGCTATATGCACTTGAAGGCAGTTGTTACTAGCCTCCATCTCATCAACTGCTAGATGACTGTAATGCAAAGTGTGCCATCAAAACCCCTTGCGCCTACGCCAACGTCCTCACCCTCGTATACACACATGCATACGTACATGTACATGCACATGCACACACACATGTGTGTACGCGTGTGCGTCACAGGCTTCACATGCTTTGCACATGCACCTTATCTCTCATGTGTACTTATAGTATATTGCATGGGAATACATGATCTTAAATACAACTCAATAAACTCTCTCCTCTTCAATGTGTGACTCAAACCCATATCCTTCTTTGTACAAAAACAATTTAGGACAGAACAATAAAACCAAAGTTGTTGTTTTGTAATATGCTTAAGCATTTTTCAAACAAAAAATACAAACAATTTCCTTCATTGTTTCAAAATAACAAAAAAAATATAGGAAACATATTATTTACATACCATGAAAATATATTTCGATTTGAACTTTCACTTAGTGTTCACACTACAAAGTCCATCAAGTACCATCGTAGCTTATAGCTTTGAATCATATTACTTATCTAATAGACCAGTAGTATAACTCACAAATAATATTCAATTATGGTGTCTTATTAGCCGCCAGCATGTTTTGGGCCTTGTGCTTCTATCTCAATTTCATAAGTGCTCTGGAGACAAGTTATTC